TTTCAAATGTATCAAAATGCTTTGAGACTTTATTTGACCAATGAAAAACATAAGTGATCTTCTATCTCCTGAAGAACCAGGGTATTCTCCTACCTAAAAGCAGCAACTGAGTCTCTTCTTTTTTTAACAAAGCAGTATTTTTCTGAAGGGCCAGATATGGACACTCACTCCATTGTGTAAAGGCCTCATCCGGTTTGCTTTCCAGCCATGTGATGAAATTCAATGCAACGCCCTATTCCATTGGCTCTAAAATACAGCAAAATTCACCTTGCCCTAGGAAGCAGGTAAAGGAACGCATGTGGAGCGTGCTAACTTTTGACATGATGTGCCTAGAGCTCTTCTCTGGCTTTAGGGATGGAGGAAATTCATTGACACACACCCCACGTCTATACCTATTGGCCGTACTCTGAGAGCTATTTACCCAGAGAACAATGCCTTCTGCCCTCGCTTCAGTCTGTGATCTCACAAGCTAGTCAGAGCCAGCTGTGGGCAGTAGTTAGGTGGAAGAACTCCAGAAAAAATAGCTCAGGCTGCCATAAGTCATCTCAGTGATTTGTTGGTAATACTGGACTCTCAGTGAGTAAGGAATGTGTCCCGGAGTGATGCCTGGGAGTATTGTGTAGGCGAAGAAACTTCTCTTTAATTAAGCCTCTTAAGGACTTTTGAAACAGAAATTTGATTCCATATTTCATAACCATTGTGGAATATTCTCATGGGCAGATATAAAAAATTATCAGCGTATCTCTCCAAGTAAGAGAAAATCAAAGCAAAAGTAACTTGTTTCTAGAATATGAACAAAAAGTACTGCACTAGACATTTAGCACAGCACGTGGCACCCACTAGGCACACAATAGGAATTTGTTGAATAAATGAATGCATGAAAGAACAGAGTTCCCAGAATTAGCAGTTGACAATAGCTGAAGTGAAACTGAAAGACTTTGAGTTACGTCAGAGGGAAATATTCTGACAAGTATCAGTGACCTGAAGATTTCTACAAAGCAGTGTGGAGAGCAGTGTGATATCACAGTATTAGCTACCTTCCTATCCACTTATTCTTCCCTGCTTGCGTTCTGGTGCAGTCAGTGAAAAGTACTTCTAGGAAGTTTATAATGCAATTTGGCCCACAACTGGTAACTAAATATGAAAATTGCAGTGAATCTAAATGTTGGAAGGAACTGAGCCTGGCGGGTGACCTGCTGTGTTGGATAGTATTGGAATCATTTGGCTGATGATGCCAATCAGTCACCATTTTGTTTTGAAATGGAAGCCCAGTAATCAAATACGTTTAGTAAAATTCCTTGTGTTTACAGAGATCTAGTCAAAATGATTCTGTATTTTCCTATTTAAGCATCCCAGTGGAAGTCATGTTTTGCCTTTCTAATTAAATATTTGCTTACGTGTGTGATACAATGTTGCTGAATGAAGCAAAAAGCACACTCCTACTTTTTATGGGAACAATCCTTAGTTTCCTCACCTGCAAAATAAGGAAAATATTACCCGCTCCTCACATTACAAGGTTGAGAAAAGCAATCAGATATGTTAGGATGGCAAAACCAAGTATGGACTTGGAGTCTGAGAGGCTTTAGTTGAGCACTGGCACTATGTCTGTGATCTTGAGCAAGTAACTCAACCTTAGTTTCCCCATCAGTCAAATGGGAATAATGGTAATACCTATCTCACACACTTGTTGAGAGGATTAAATAACGTGATATATGTAAAGTGCCAAATATCTATGTTAGTGGTTAACATCGATGAGCACTTACTGTGTTCCAGGTACGTGGTAACACACATGAATATGCTCTCCAGGCTGTAGGCTGTGGCGGGTGGAGGCACAGCTGGTGACTTTTTCATTCCCAACCTTTGCTCCCATGTGACCTTGCTTCTGTAGCCCACAGACTTACCCAGTGGAGAATTCTTACCAATGATGTTAACTTTGAAGGATAGGGAAGAGGCCATTTTATAGGATCCACTGCTCTAGAGAGGAAAGTCCCTGGGGTGAGCAAGATCCCTGGACAAGATCTCCAGCCCAAAGGCTAGATTTTGTTAGGCCTCAGAGGAAGTAGACCTTTTCCTATTGCAGTCTGGATGCATTTCCTGTGACAAATCACAAGGGTCCAGGGCTCTGGGAAAAGGAAAGGACAGCCAGAAGGAAGGAAAAGGACGAGGCTAGTTAGGCATGCCCTTCTTCTCCCTCAAATCAGCCTCTGTTTTTTTTAATATCATTGCCTCCAGCCAACAAAGAAATTACCTGTTGTTTCATTATTAGAACTATTTTTATTGACAGCATAATTACCATTATTAACAGCTAATATGTAGTGAATGCTTATATAGGAAAAATGCATTGACTTATTTATTGTCATCACAGCAATGCGATGAGAAAGATTCTCTTCTATGATTCTATCATTATTCTTATTTTACAGATGAGTAAAGTGAGGATAAAAGCAGATAAAATCCTTGCCCAAGCTAGCAAGTGGAATTGCTGAGACTCAAACCTGGAGCTTCTAGCTCCAACCCATTATTTCTATCTACTGTGCTGTTCCCTGATTTACCTAATGATTCACAACTAGAGTTCAGACGCAACCAGGCACTTAAGTTCAAAATGTGCCCCCTGGCTGCCTTCCCCAGAGCAGGAGAGCAGAGCTTAGGTGGTTTGCCCAGCATTTCCAGAGTCTTTCCAACAGAAATGAATTTCTGCTCAACTTGTCCTCAAGTCTGTTTTGAAAACCAAAATAAATAATTTGTGTTGATAGACAGTGTGCCAGAACACGAATAAAAAAAAGTCCCATTTTGTAGGACAGAGAGTGAACTTTAACCTTCTGAGAATTTTTGGTTTTCCTATATGAAATGTTTGCTTATTATTTTTAAGATGCTTTCTCATGTGTTTTTTTTCATGTTGCAAAAAAGGGTTTCCTTAAGCTTAATACAATTTATTGTACAAAATGAAAAGATGAAGTCGAGTGTAGTATTGTAGTTAGGAGTTCTTAAAACATCAGCAAAACCTACAGGATTTACTATATAAACAGGCTCAATTAAGTATCTCATGCTAATTACATAGCTATAAATACAAGGTGGATGAAAAGCCTTGATTGGGTTTGTTCTTCTCTGTTCTGATACAACCTTAATTGCACATGATAAGAAAACACTTAGAAAGCACATCAGACTGCCATGAGCACTCCAGCGACCTGCTCCAGGTTATGCACGTTGGAGAAAAAAAAACAAATGTCACATCAGTGCTTGCCTCATGGGGGAAAAAAATTAAATACTGAACATTTCCCCCTCTTTACTATTCATTCAAAATATAACAAGGAGCGGGGTGCCTGGGTGGCTCAGTCGGTTGAGTGTCCAACTTCAGCTCAGGTCATGATCTCACAGCTAGTGACTTTGAGCCCTGTGTCGGGCTCTGTGCTGACAGCTTGGAGCCTGGAGCCTGCTTTGGATTCTGTGTCTCCCTCTCTCTCTGCCCCTCCCCTGCTCATGCTCTGTCTCTCTCTCTCTCTCTCTGTCAAAAATAAA